AGTGGCTCACATCTATAATCCTAGCTACTCAGAAGGCTGAGGTCTGAAAATAGCAGTTCAAAACTAGCCTGCGCAGAAAAGTCCACGAAACTCTTTTTTTTTTTTTTTTTGGTCAGTTGTAGGTCTTGAACTCAAGGTCTTTACCTGAGCCTCTTTGTGCTCAAGGCTAGCGTTCTACCATTTTTGGTTTCTGAGTGGTTTCTTGAAGATCTCACAGGGGGCTGGGAATGTGGCTTAGCGGTAGATGCTTGCCTAGCATGCAGGAAGACCTGTGTTTGATTCCTCAGTACCACACAAACAGAAAAAGCTAGATGTGGTGCTGAGACTCAAGTGGTAGAGTGCTAATCTTGAATAAAAAATGCTCAGGGAGCCAGGCGCTGGTGGCTCACACTTGTAATCGTAGCTACTCAGGAGGTTGAGATCTGAGGATCAAGGTTCAAAGCTAGCCAGGGGCAGGAAAGTCTGTGAGACTCTGATCTCCAATAAACCACTCAGAAAACTGGAAGTGACGTAGTGGCTCAAGTGGTAGAATCCTAGCCTTGAGCTGAAGAGCTGAAGGACAGTGTTCAGGCCCAGAGTTCAAGTCCCATGACTGACACCGCACCCCCCCCCAAAAAAAATGCTCAGGGACTGTGCCCAGGCTCTGAGTTCAAGCCCCAGGACTGGCAAAAAAAAAAAAAGTCTCACAGGGGCTTTTCTGCCTGGCCTGGCTTTGAACTACAATCCTCAGATCTCAGCCTCTTGAGTAGCCAGGATTAGAGGGGTGAGCCACCAGTGCCTGCCCATGAAACTCTTATCTCCAATTAACAACTACAAAGTTGTAAGTGAAAGTGTAGTTCAAGTGGTAGATTGCTTATCTTATGTCAACAAAAAGCTAAACAATAGCAGAACTCTTGAGTTCAAGGTCCAGTACCAGCACACAAAATATATATGTGTATGTTTGTGTGTGTGTGTGTTTATATATTTGTTAGCCAGGCAAGTTAGCATACTTCTGCAATTGCAGCACCCAGGAGACGGAATAGAACAATCACAAATTGGAAGCCAGCCTGGACCACATAGAAAGCTTGAGGCATCCTACACTATATAATAAAAACGTGTGAGGGCTGGGAAGGTAGCTCAGTGGTAGAGTGTTTGCCTTGCATGCCTGAGGCCCTGAGTTCGATTCCTCAGCACCACATAAGCAAAAAGAAAAAAGCCGGAAGTGGCGCTGTGGCTCAAGTGGTAGAGCGCTAGCCTTGAG